CGGAGGATGCCCGAGACAAGTTGCCCGTCACCAAGGAGAGCGGGGAGGGTTGCCTGGGGCAGGTAAGGAGTGAAAAGCGTCTTGCGCTGTTGCTGCTGAGGCTGCTGGGCAGAGAGCTGTGGTGCGTGCTGGCTGCCGCCAAGACCAACAAAGTTCTGGCCGTTCATCTGGGCAGCCTGAAGCGCCTGCAACTGGTTAAGCTGCATAGGGTTAAGTTGTTGGCCGGGAAACATTCCGGGAATCATCATCTGGCCTGGAAGTTGCACGAGCTGGGGCTGACCTGGATACTGGAACGCTCCAATGTTCGAGAACGACTGGTTGCTCATGGATTGACGGGAGCGATGACCGGGTTGGAAGTTTTGCTGCTGTCCAGCATTCTGGTCTTGACCCTGGTTTTGGGTCCTCCAGTTTCCATCAAAGTTACGGGAGCCGGTACGTGCATGCCCGGTCGAGCCGCCACGACGCTGGAGATCACCAGAGTGGCCACCTGCGTCGCCGGCGCGCGGGGCGGCGCCACCGCGACCAACAGCCATACTCTGGCTTCTACCATGTGCTCCGCCGCGGCCTCGAGAGGGGCCTGACCCCTGGGACGGCTGACTGTCAGGGACGGCGAGCGAAGAAGAGGCTCTACCTTCGTCCTCAGGCTTATCGGAGGCACCAGTGGCACCGGGACCGGGGAACTGGAAGCCAGAGGTGGTACGCTTTTGCTGCGCAATCTCAGCAGCCTTCTTGGCATCGGCCAGAGCCAACGAGTGCCTTCGTTGATGACCGCCACCTGAACCGCCGCCGCGTCCGCCCCTGGTGCTACTGTTCTCGCGGTTGTGGCCGGAAGCATTGTCCACATTACCGAAGGCAGATCCAGAGGCTCCAGAAGAAGGGGCGGGGGGAGGGCCCATTCCCATGTTCGGGAGTGCCGACTGATTACGGCGATGTGACATTGGCTGGGTCGGAGGTGCCATGTTAACATTTTGCTGCGGTAGCTGATTCGGGAATTGGAAACCGGCCTGAGGTGACATGTTGGTCATGTTAGGCTGGAGGTGGTTGAACGCTCCGCCCGGGGGTAGCATCCCCATGTTGACATACTGCTGCTGAGTCGCCTGGATCTGTTGCTGTTGCTGCTGTAGGAGTTCGATCTGTTGCTGGATGGCAAGCTGCTCCACTAGAAGAGGAAAAGGTTAGTATCAACGGTTGCCAAGGCCGAGACGACGGCGAGCTCTGTGAAGGATGGAAAATCACACGGTGACGAGCCAGCAGGGGGTAGAAGCAGAGAAAAACTATCAACAAGAAGCTTACTGTTGGGGTTGGCAAACATGCTCATCAAGGGAGTGAGCTCTGAAGGACTGCGACGATGGGCGATGTGAAGCCGTCGGCCAGCAGGACCGGGGACGCCCCCCGTAGGAGGAGGCTGCTGTTGTTGCTGCTCCATGACAAGCTAGCAAAAACTGCCTGACAATGGGGAGACAAGCTTGGTGTGTGTGTGATGGGGTTTCTTTCGTGGGTCGGAGAGCTTGAATCGCTGTTGGATGATGCGGTATCACGAACCAGGCGACGATGACGACGTCCAAAGTGATGTCAAGGAGGGTACGAAAGGAGAGAGCGTTGGAAAAGGGTGATGATGATCTGGACGCTTTGCTTTGATCGGAAAGGGAACGTGCAAGTACTGAAGACGAGCTGGAATAGCAGAGACGGTGGTGATTTGGAGATTGGAAAGATGGTAGGCAGGACAGCAGACGAAAGGAGAGGAGAGAGTTGTGGGTTGTGTGTGTGAAGAGGAGGAGAAGGGTAAGGGCGAATACGATTGATGATGATGGAAGACGAGAGACAAGAAAGAAGGTGGTGCTGCTCTCCAAGTGCTTCGGTGCTGGTGCTTCGGTGCTCTGGTGCTGCTCCAGCACTGCTCTTGGTTCCAGTGTGTTGCCCCAGCTCGCCAAGCGGCCAAAGTACCTGCCTACCAAACCTGGGTAGCTCTGTAGCATGCATGACCACCAGCTCCAGGCCACATTACAGTTGCGTGTGTACTTCCAAGGTGCCCACAGGTGGTTGGCTGAGTCCAAACTGGGAGCACTAGACAGGGTACCATGGTGGGGGGCCCAGGTACCTTTGGGGGACCAAGCGAGCCCAATGCGACCGGGATTGGCGACGGTTGAGGCCTGGTGTTAGGGGGAGGCGAGGAGACTCTGAGGCAGCGGTAGGTCCCAAGTACCTTTCGTCCTCTGCCTTCAATTCCCACTTTTACACGTTTTGGGGAGAAGAAGAGGGGGAATCTCTTGACAATAGAAACGTGAGCCATGCCGTTTTCTGCCCAGCTGAGCTTCACACCCCTACAGAACGCACGGCGTATGTTTCCAGTTCCCTTACCTACCCTGCAGCTTCAACTCCATCTGTTTGCAGCGGGCTTCAAAAGGCCTGGAAACTCCACTGGAGGACTGACCCGTGATGGACTAGGTAGTGACGGCGGCAGCGGGCGGGCTACTTTTAGAGGTAAAGGGAAGCTCCACTCAACGAGGAATACGGGCTTTCGTCGACGCTTATTAGGTACGCCTTAGAGGACTTGGACAATACCTGTATTCACCTGCACTACCCAGCCCCGACTTGTTCGTTTTGTACCGAGTATCGCCCCAGTGTCGCGTTTTACCGCCCGGCAGTATTGACGTCGCTTCACCACCTAAACAGTCCTGTAGTTACACGGCTATTTTTTTTACAAGCAGTCGCTGAACTCGGTACTTGATTGTCACACGTGGGAGCCGCAATTTCCATGTACACACCACAACATACTGAAGACTGTCTAACATCCACCTCCTTCCGGTCTTCATTCAACACGCAAAGATCGCTGATTCCAGACACATCTGGATCACATCACAGACTCCTCCCTCTGGCTGCAAGCATGCATTTGTGATTAGCCCATATCTCACACCACAGATGGCGAGCTCGTCACCTCCAGCCCGAGACTCTCGAGCCCTTCGCAGCTCACGGAGCTCAAGGCAGAGCCTCAATCTGCCCATACGAGCGCAACTGTCCGATTTTCTCCTCGATACTCGGAACTCGGAAGAGGCGCATCGGAGAGGGTTCGAAGAAGCAGAGCGCGAGCATGAGCGGATCCGGCGGACGGCGATCGACGCCCTCAACGCGCACGAGCGCGAGCTCGAGCTCAAGAGGATAGAAGAAGAACAAGCCAGGGAACGCCAGCGTTTGGCTAAGGAAGCCGAAATCGCGCGCAAAGAGGCGGAACTGCAGGCATTGAAGGCGAAGCAGGTTCCGAAACCAGCGCCGCCGCCACCATCTCCGAAAGCACCGGCAGCTCAAGCGACAGCTTCCAAGGACCAACAAGCCGCCGCCCTTGCAATCACTGCGCCAGCGAGTCAAACCTCGCAACCCGAGACGGCAAAATCAAATTCATTGAATGGCCTCGCAGCGCAGAAACCAGCTCCAGCCACATCTGCAACGCAGGGCGCAAAGACGTCTCTGTTCGGGCCAACACCCGCTGCCTCGTCTCCGTTCGGCGCACCCACTCCCTCGAGCAACCAGGCCTCTTCCCAGGTGCAGAAAGCCTCACCATTCGCAGCCCCACAACCAAAGCCCAGTATATCTGCGGTCGCTCAGTCAGCTGCCGCGACGGGTTCGCCTTTCTCCCAGGCCAATGGTGTTCCAACCCCTACCCAGGCCCCAGGTCCAAGGCAGCCTGCCTCAGATCGCCACATTGAAGTACACAAGAATCTCAAAGAACTCCGCAAATCCATGACGGAGCAAGCAAAGACGAATCCCCATCTAAAGAAGCGGATGGGCGACATGCGCCGTGAAATTAGGAAATCAACTGGCCAATTCGTTGCGGGCGGTGCCAGGGCCAACGAAACACCGGTATGTGATCTCGACCACTCCCCAGCATGTCGAAACCATTAGCTAATGAACGTTATAGATTGCCAAGATCGTAGAACTACTGCGAGAAGCACTCAGGAACCAGGTCCAAAGTCAGCTCATCGACCCAGGCATGTTCGTGCTAGAGTCCAGGGCTCCGGTCCCCGGGGAGACAAACGAACCACAGCGCTCGTCGCTTTTCCTTTACCTCATGAACATCTTTTGCAAAGCTGTCATATCTCAATTCATCAACGAGGCCAGCGCCAACCCCAAACAGGCCGATGCCATTGGCATGGTAGCTGCCAAGATCTTCTCCGATGTGGAGTTTCTCTGGCGAGGCAAGTCATTGATTGACATGCTGATCGCCAAATACCGTGTCGTCTGCCCGGTTCTCTTTGGATTCAGGGGCAACGACAAGATGGAGCAGGCCAGGCTGCGAGTCGGTTGGAGGAAGGAAGGCGGACAATGGATTCCCGAGCAGGTCCACGGCGATCGCATGACGGGCCTCGGCGCGGGCTTCGCGGCGCTGACCCTCCGCGATTTCTCCAAGGCAAAAGCCAAGAAGAACCCATGGCCGCCATCAGTCTACTGGACGGCAATGGCTAGGATCATCAACACGCCCACGGAGGAGATCTCCAAGACACAGTGCTACGTCCTGAAGGCGATGATCGCCAATTACGAACAGAAATTCATGCTCTGCTACGGCACCGCCGCCGTCGCGGCCTTACGCTGCGCCCTTATCGACTTCCCGGCCAGGATACCAGAAAAGAGCTCGGCTCGCGATGCCCTACCTGTGGTCGCGACCAGCTTACGGATGGAAACAGGCTTACGACTGGATCAGATTTGATCGCCCTGGGAGCAATGCTTGGTGGTGGCACGCAGTAGGTAGACCTGCAATCATGGAAACAAGCATAGATCGGGCGTTCAGGCGCACAATTTACGGACATGAACTTATAGACAAGCTCACGACGGGCTTAACGCACTAGGCCAGAGGATCGGTTTGCGACGTCAAAACAAGCCGGGTTGGTACAACACCATGCGTTCCAACTTCCTCGATTTCTAGAAAGGGGGAATGTACTATTATATATCTGGCTCAAAGCCCAGAACAATCTACAATATCTTGAGAAGCACGTCGCGTCTACCAAGCCCTAATCGAGTGCTCCACTGACCAATGTGAACTCCGCGCGATGCAAGGAAAGGTTGCCATCGCCAAATGAATGCCATGCCCCTTGGCTATAAGATCAGAAGCAAGACGAGCAAGATAATTAGAACCATGATCAGAACGCCGATGCAACAACTGCTCCACCTGTCCTCGTTCTTCCGAATGACATACTGCAGCTTCTGCATGCCCGTCTGCAACCTGCCGCCGACCCTGTCGGCCAGGTTGTCCGTCACCTCGAGCATCTCGCGCTGCTCCTCCAGCTCGCGGCCCATGTCGTCCGCCTGCCTGCGCAGGTTGCCCACCGTCTGGAACACGCCGTCGAGGTGCTGGTCCTGCTCGCGCATCATCTGCACCTGCTGCTGCTGCTCGAACGCGGCGTAGTCGTCATCATCGCCCTCGCCCTCACCGTCGGCGATGGCAAAGGCGTTGGGGTCAGGCAGGTCCGAAGTCCCGCCGGCGCCGGAGGACGAGCCTTTGCCCTTGCCGGCGCCGGCGGCGGAGCTATCGATCCTCTTGGCCAGCTCGTCGCGCATGTCCTCGATCTCGCCGCCGACCTCCTGCACGAGGCGCTTGCGGCGCGCCACCTCGCCGGCATCGAGCCCAAATTGCGACGGGTCCGACTCGACGGCTCTCACGGATTCGACGAGGTCGGCTAGGTCCTCCCCCAGCGATGAGAGTGCCGACTCGAGGTCTGACCGGGCCGAGGCCAGTTCTGGCGACGTCGCTGTGTTCGTCAGGGAGCGGATGCGGAGGTACGAGGAGAAAAGAGGCCGTGTGGATGATAATTGCGCGAGGACATCTCTGAGAGGATGACGTTTAGCAAGCCGCAGAATTCTTGATGGGGAGGTCTGCACCTACTGTTGTACTTGGAGGAACGGGTCCTCCTCAGTGTTGGAGGACATCATCCTCGAAGTAGCTGGGTTCCAAGCTCATGTATATCGTGATGTATATCGGCCCATCGCAGGCACTGGAGAGGTGGCGGTCAAAGTTGAGTTGTTGCTTTGTGTCTTATGTCGTAGCCTAGCACATGGATGTAGCTGCATCGAGAGCTGGATGCTGTATCTGATTGTAGGTACGTACGTGGATAGCTGATCACAGGGTGTGGTTTGCCCGGATTTGGGGGTGAAACTAGCCGCAGCAGACTCCACTGATGAGTCTTGAGGCTGCGCGGATTCGACGTGGCCAGATGAGGGCGGGATCCAATTGGTTGGCTCAAGTGCTGCCCCTGGTCCTCCCGCGGCGCCTCTGATCCGCACTCCAGACAGGGCTCAATGAATTGAGGTTGGCACGGTTGGCTCACGTTGCTGGGGCTCGCAGGTGGCGGCGGGGCATTCGCCAGCGTCCCTGCGACGGCAGGTGGTCGTTGTGAAACGTAGCTTCAACCGGGAGCTGCACCATATCTGGACCACTTCAATCCTCCCTTCTCTCTTCCTCTCTTGACCATTGATTCTCGTTAAAACCCGAGGATCGATTCATCGAGGAGTCCTCAATTCCCTTTTCGTTCAAAAAGTATCCATCGACTGGATACATTTTCCATTCACAATGCTCAACTTTCGGAGGCTCTTCGTCTCCGCCGCCCTCTTGCTCGGGCTGAGCTTGGTGCTCTTCTCCCGCCACGCTGAGGCTGCCAAGGGCCCCAAGATCACACACAAGGTCTACTTCGACATTGAGCATGGTGACGAGAGCATGGGCCGTGTCGTCATCGGTCTGTACGGCAAGACCGTCCCCAAGACCGTCGAGAACTTCCGTGCCCTTGCTACAGGCGAGAAGGGCTTCGGCTACGAGGGCTCTACCTTCCACCGTGTCATCAAGGACTTCATGATCCAGGGCGGTGATTTCACCAAGGGCGATGGTACTGGTGGCAAGTCCAGTAAGTGATGATTTGTGCTAATGATGGTAACCGACTGCCGGAGACCATGACTAACCCGCGCGCACCTGCAGTCTACGGCGACCGCTTCGAGGACGAGAACTTCAAGCTCAAGCACTCCAAGAAGGGTCTCCTGTCCATGGCCAACGCTGGAAAGGACACCAACGGCTCGCAGTTCTTCATCACCACTGTTATTACCTCGTAAGTCTACTGATTACCTTGCATATGGTGCCCTGAGTACTGATATCTTCGTCTTCCTATAGATGGCTGGATGGCCGCCACGTCGTCTTCGGCGAGGTCCTCGAGGGATACGACATTGTTGACAAGATCCAAAACGTCGACAAGTCCTCCGGCGATCGCCCGACAAAGCCCGTGAAGATTGTCAAGAGCGGCGAGCTGGAGGTCCCCCCAGAAGGTATCCATGTGGAACTCTAGAAGTAGTCACCCACTACCTCAAACACAATCTACCTCTACACCTCTTTATCGCCCGCTCGCCTTGCTATTTACCACTAGGTTGCTGATTTGTGGTGCGCCTCTCAGCTGAACACGGCTCTTCGGACTGGAGCGCGGGGTATAACAGCGAGAAAAACCCCTTTTCCAAAGCTGTTCACTCTGCAGAGTGGTCTGTCTTCCAAAAGGCATTCCTCTTTGGTATTATCCTGGCTGTTATCGCCATTTACTTGCGGGTGTCGAGGCAGAGGGAGATGAGGGATGAGCTACTCTATGAGAAGACGTTGGCTTCCCGGGCCAATTAAAAACCTCGCGGAAATACAATTGCATTCATGCCTGAACATATACCATCTGCAAGTTTTGTAATTCTGTGAAAGCCGAGCTGGGGATGTGCGGAGAATAGTTACCTGAACAAGTCGAGCAACACCATGGTTCGCACTTACAACACACATCACGTGGAGATATTTTCAAGCTTCAAAATTTATCTGCGATAAGATATCATCACCATGCGATAACCCCGCCAGCAACCGACATTTCTGCATGCTACTGCCATTGTGGACAGTCGAAATTAATTCAACATGAAGATCCTCAGCTTGAATTTCCTTTCTTGCGCTGTCAAGGCTTGCAAAGCCTCGTCAGATTCGTTCCCTCTCCACCCCAAGGATGCTGAGCTCGCCCACGACGACGTTGAGCTCAATCCCCAGCTCCTGGTCAATGTTCTGCCGCGCATAGACTGGAAGGCGCTGCGGACAACTTCCACAGAGGTATGGGATATTTCCAGTGCTTCAACAACCCTCATGATGGATCCTCTTGCCTGGTTGAAGATTAGCTGCTTCTGTTTTGCGATCTGTCCGTGCTAACTGAGACGAACCAGCTCGGCTTCCCGGACTTGCCTGAGCAGCCACCGACTGTGGAGGAACTGGAGGCGAATGAGACGATGCTCAAAGAACTGCACAACTTGCTCATAGAGACGCAGATTATGGAGGGCAAGCTGGTGTGCGCCAACTGCGGGCACGAGTACGGCATCCGTGAGGGCATTGCCAACTTTCTCTTGCCAAGTCATCTAGTATGAGCAATGAGCATTGCGGCGCTCAGGCCACGCCGTACCGGGGGATAGTATCATTCGGCATGCCTGTCGGCTATGTTATTTGGGTTCTACGGAGTTTATACGGTTTTCATCATTCGAGGAGAAAAGAGGTTCCAAAAAGCATCTGCATCGTTGTTGTTTTTGTTGCACCGTTATACCATCTCACAGTTGGGTCTCACTCTGAAAATTTCTGAAACTGGGAGGTTGCCAGATTAAACAATTGATTGCCATTAAACAAATGCCACCGTGAACTCCTATCTAGTGAATATGTTTACAGAACCACTCCTGGTGAGTGAGCCATCGTGATAACCAGTTTGTCCTTGCAGGCTCCAGCCTCATTTACTGTTGCTTCTTCTGCGCAGCGGGTCCCATGTCCTTCTCAAAAGCCCCATACGGAATCTGAAGGCTTCCTAGTGCCGAGAGGCCGACGTACATGATGGTGAGGATGAGGAGGAAAGCCAACAGGCCCATAAAGATTCCAGGGGTGAAGAATTGGTACTTCTCAAACAGAGGCCTGGGGTCCGTCTGATTGCCCTTCTGCTGCCTGCTCTCCATAAAGGTGCCAACATTGCGCTTCAGCTCAACGCGGCGCCCATCGGCAAACTCGGCCTCATACGACTTGGCCTCATGGGGGTTGGAGAAGTAGACGACGGTGTAATCTCCGTCGGCCTGGGTAGTGTCGAAGAAGCTGGCCAACTCAAGGTCTACCGGTACGTGTTAGCCACAGACGTCCGAGGTTTGCCACACCACTGCAAATACGTCGAAAAGTACATACCGTTCTCCGCCAGCACCTCTGCCCGTCTGGGCTGCTCTGATGGCAGGGCAGGGAGCAGTCGCTCCTCGATCTTGGCCACACGTCCCTTGGACTGGCACGAATCCTTGATATGCTTGGAGAAGTCGCCAAAGGCCAGATCTCCACCTAGAATCTCCGCCACGCTGAACCGGCCCTTGACGTCCTTGCCCTCGAGCGCTCGGCAGAGGCTGGGCGACTGGCAGCCGCTAGGACCCGTCAGGTCGCTCGCATGAACGGTAGGCTGCGACACAAGCAGGTAGCGACTGGTCGGGCATGTGCTGAGGATGTCTCTCGCAGAGGCAAGTACGCGCGCAGTGCTTTGGAGTTGGACGTCATCCGGTTTCGTAAATCTATGTGGAGAGAGAAGTGGTTTAGTAGGTACATCCAGCGTGGAGGATGGGTGCAGGTTCATTTACTCAGAGGTAGAGAATAGCAAAAAGGGCGACGAGTCGGAGAATGCATTGGCAGAAGCGACGGCCAGGAGGCCAGTAGCTATTGATGCGCGCATCTTGCAAAATGTCGTGTCCGCTGTACGCTGTCTTCGGCGATGGACGATGTGAGAGGGAGCTTCTCTGTCGGGGTTGGATAAGGGACACCAAGCTTCAATGCTGGGAGCTGCCTTGATGATGATGCAGCTAGTGTAAAGGCGGCGCGCCTCACCCCAGTAAAGTTCCGTTTTCCCTTGTAACGGGACCTGTTTGGAGGGCCAACAGGCGGCGTTTTGGCCTGACCGTACTGCTAAAAATGTGGACTACCAGCACTGGCACTCACTAAACATTGATATCAGCCGCCTCTTCCGATAAGCTTCTTATCAGATAAAGGTAGCTGGAGATTTTTCGTAATGCCTTCAAATGCCCCGTCCTCAATTAGAGGTCTGGCTGTTCTCTTTACCCGATACACCCTAAGCGCCTGATCCTGTCCCGACTTTCTCCTTCACGATATCGAGATGTTCAAGCAACCGAGAGCCAAGAAGAGCCTCCTTCCTCCACCAAACAAGAAGAGGAAGGTAGCCCACAACATAGAAGAAATCTCCTTCGACCGCGATGCTCGCGCCGAGTACCTCACTGGGTTCCACAAGCGCAAGGTGCAGAGGCAAAAACATGCGCAAGAGATTGCCGCCGAGAAGGCGAGGCAGGAGAGGATAGAGATGCGGAAACAGGTATGAGGCCGTGAACGACTGTCTCTCCAGCCAAAGTTATACTGACACCAATGTTTTCAGCTCAGAGAGGAGCGGCAACAGGCTATGGAAGAGCATGTGAAGCAGGTTCAGGACTTGCTGAAGCAGGCAGAGCAGGCAGGCCAGGACGACGACGGGGACTCAGAAGATGGCACAGAGGACGAGGCATGGGACGGCTTTGAGGACAGCCCAGCGCTCGAGCCTGTTGATCAACAACAGGAATACATTGATGAAGACTTGTACACGACAGTTACTGTGGAGTCGGTCAGTGTAGATCGTGAGGGTCTACACAAACCATTGGAAGAAGCGGAAAGACGGGAAAGGGAAGCACAGAGCAAGAAAGCCATGGAGGAAGGTGACGCCGCCAACAAGGACAAAAAGGAGCGGCCAAAGAAAAAGAAAAAGAAGTTTACATACGAGACGAAATTCGAGAGACAAATAGCCGACCGCAAACAAAAGGCCAAAAAGGCAAAATACAGCAGATAGAGGACAAGCATTTGGCCGCAGGCGGTACAAATAGAGGCCGGGTCT